GTTGAACATATCTGCAGTAAAGTGTTCTTACCGATATCATCACAGGTTCTCTGTACAGTACTTGTCGGTGGAGCAATCGATTCGCCATTTGCTGTTGATGTTCAGGTCTCCACTCAAAGCAATTGAAGCACTTGAGATTGCACGTTTTCAACAAATTCGTGAAAAAAATTAAATTGGAAATATCGGACCTGCAGACATCTTAAAGACATTCTAGCATAATAAAAGTAACGGGGCTTGGCATCCTCTTTGTGTCCATAAAGGATGTTCATATGAAGTCTACTTCTGCCAGCGTGATATTTTTATCTTTCATTTTGGTTTTGAAACTACGAAAAAAGTATGGTCACCCTAAAAACTCTTTCTGACTTGAACCAAAACAAACCGGCTACTGGCTCACACAGTATTTCAGCCGCCACACGAATTTAGTTATCATTTTGTCGTCTTCCCGTTTGGGGGTGTTGCAAGAGTTGTAAATATTTTGTCTGTGCGCGCTTTTGAACTTTTGCCGGTCGCGTGTTCCGTGTTCGCTTGCCGAAAAAGGAAAACAAGGAAACGCTAAATAGCAAGTGAACGAAAAAAGTTCGAATTAACGGTGAAAACAAACTGACTATGTATGTGTGTGTGTGTGTGAATTGATAATAAAAATGTAGCCAAAGTTTTGAATGAGGGTGGTATTTTTATAAAAGAAAGTCATTATCGCAAAGCTATTTTGCGCTCTAATGTTTCAACATTTAATTGGATAATCTACATACATATGTACATACATATAATCTTCACGGCTAGCTGTAAAGGAGTGTAAATACAATTTGGTATGTTAGTGTGTGTGTGGGACAGTAAACGCCGACATTGCAATTTTCGTCTGCTTCCTTCATACATAAACTGCATTATCGACTTTGCTGAGCCATTGTTATTATTATGTACTTAAATACATACAAACTTGTAATCGTTTGTGGACATCGCCGGTCCGGTAATTAAAGGTTTACGACCCTAGTTGCACGTCGTCGTATGTAATGGCTTTATATTGTTTCGGTCGCGGTCGTTGTACGCTCTGTCAACATAACGGTACAAAACGTGTTACAGCCCGACTTCGTTACATATGTACATATGTACATTCATACATTTATGTTTTCGTGACTGATGCCGTCACGTTTTCACGTCTGTTATTAACGTGCTTTATGTACTCGTATTTTGTAGTTCTTTTGAAAGGAGCTTCTCCGCATTTAAGTATTGATTTTCCGCAACTTTTTTGTGTGGTTTCCTTGAAGTGTTGGAAAGTGTTGAGTGTCGTGGAAAAATGAAAGGAGATGTTTCCACTTATCAACTAAAGAAGTGGATTATCTCAAGTGAAGTGCTCATAAACATTTGCACTGTCATCGGGAGGGGAGAGAACTACACAGAACAAAACAAAACGAAAGATAATGAAATAAACTCAAAAGCTTTTTAAAGGGCCAAACGCAAGGCTTTGCGTGTAAAACTTTTGCATATATAATTAAGAGAAATTGACTAAGAAAGGTTTTACAGGCTGAAAGCAAGCAACGTACGATGACAATAGAACTACCGAATCATGCTTAATAAACGTACATATGTATCGACTCAGTTAAAGAGAAAAAAATCCTTACCCAACCCAACCTGCAGAACAATAACGGCCCATCTCCTATGGTCAGCTCTACATATGTATATACATTAGGGTGGTCCAAAAACAGCGAAGTCGGAATTGTAATGCCCTCACCCCCTGGGATTGTTCTATATCCAAAAAATATACCCCTATTTTTTATTTTGAAATCAAAAAATATTTAGGGGTCGCTCAAAGCGCTCAAAGTTTTCCATATATTTTTATGTGGGAAAAAATGAATTTTTTCGTAGAAATGGTATAGAATTCTTGAAAATCAATATTTTTCGATCGGAAAACTCTGGTTCTCTTCAGGAGACTTTCAATAATACAGTACAGTACATATGTACATATGGTATCATAAAAAACTCTACTATTGACTCCTGCTTTGCTCACTCGGCCATTGTTGGAGCAGCGCGAGCAAAATGATATACATCTTCATTTAGAACATGCTCAAGTCTTTGCTGTCAAAAGAGCTTTTAACCATGAAAGTTGACACGGGAGCTTTTTGTTACACTTTCGTGCCCGAATAAACAAAATCTTTGAAGCTATTACCTTTTAATTGTCTAATGGCGAGAATATTCACCCTGCCAGAAAGCTAAGCGCTTAAGAAATGGTCGTCCAACACTTGTCAAATGTTAACTTACACATTGCTTCTATTAGGCGTCACATGCCGCCAGACAATACGAGTACTTCCCACACATGAAGTATTGTGTCTGATAATATATTTGAATTTGATGACGACGCCCATCTCATGGTCGCCGCCTGGTTTAGTTTAGACGAATGTTGCTAAATAAGTTAGCTAAAGTTATGGTGTCGGTTTTGTAAAGCTCGCGTTCTGTCCGTAGATTTATTTAACTTTGTTATTATTCTTCATTAGAATGATTGTGCTTTTCTTGTTCAGAAGCAACGCTACCTGCAATGTTGTGTGATACCTTTGGTTTCGCCTCCACCAATCTCCTACTGTTACACCTCATGCCGTTCCCGTAAGGTCTGATGTCGCAGTCCGAAATTGTTGACTATGCTCGTCGAATGACCTTCAGCAGTTTAAGGAAAACCTGCTTTGGATTTCCTATCCGAGGGGGCCTGATGGCGAGAGCTACGCCGATCTCGAAGAGTGTACTCTGTTGTAGATCTAGCAAGCAACATGCTCCCAAGGATGATAAGGCTTTAACTGGTGGGCACTGCTTCCCGAATTCTTCTACTTTTGTGAAATCTAGCCCTTGGCGTTCTCTTGTTAGGTACCTTGGTTCTTATATTGGTGAGTGTGATCGTACCTTTTAAGTGGCCTAGTTATGAGCGTTTTGATGGAGCACTCGGATGTGGCGAAAAGGGACCGTGTGTCCGGTTTTATTATTACTTTTTGCTTGTTGAGCTTAATATTGTACACATGACTATAGTTTCCGAAAGCGGCAGGCCCATAAAGTTACAAACGAAGCTGGATACGAAAAACAGTGCAGTAATAAAAAAAATGCATTTGCAAGAAAGCTAACATATTGCAAGCAAAGATGAAGATGAGGATGTTGTGTATATTGTCAATTGCAACCAATTCGCCTTCAGCTTAGTTTTCAGCAGGATAACGACAGAGATAATGACAAAGACAAAGGCAAAGACGCAGTCAAATGCAACGTCAAAATAAAAACACAGACACAGATTAAGATTGAGATTAAGGAGAAGATGAAGTTGCAGATTAAGATAAATTAGAAGATAGGAAATGACGATGAATATCAAGATTCTTTTTAGTAAAAAACAATTCAATTTCGAGAAAAAGTTTGTTTGAATATTTTTGGCATTTACAGTCGGATCTTAAAGTATGATTCTTTTTTCTCGAAAGTTTATTAACCTGAAGTACCCCGTTCTAATACTTACACACCATACCTCAGTCTTTATCGTTCTAACGTACCACCCTAGTGTCAACATATTAAAGTTTGCCAAAATTCATTAAACTTTTGCTAAGAAAGTATTTTAATTATTCCAGCAGAACTATTTAAAAAATGTACTTAATTTTACTTTTACTTCTTTAATTCGTGGAGTAGAATTTGAAATGATCTGGAGAGTAAGTAGTAGAATGGGCATTTGAGGCCAATGCACTTTCGAACAAAAAAATTGTCTCCTCGAGAAATTGGAAATATGTATCATATCTTAAGATCAGGCAGTAAATGAAGAAGGTATGGGGGAAAAAATCCCAAATTTTCTTGCAAAAAAAAAATTTTTCTATTTATCTATGGTCTAATGTGCATATACATACATATGTACATAAGTATGCATATGTACATACATCCATGTGCATTTATTTGTACAAACATAACGTTCTAAAGATCGATAGCCTTTGGCACTAAAAACGGCGGATATGTCAGTCAACTTCCTTAGAAAAACGTGTTTTCGTGCCGTTGGCACATTTAAAAACTTTTGTTGTCATTTCACAAATTGCTTTCATCACTAAAGGGCAAACTGGATAAACAGCAAGAGGGTGAAATATGAAAGCACAGTAATTGGCGCCATGGCCTATAGACAGGGTAATGTAATTTGTTTGCTATCAAATTCAAGCTAATAATAATTTCTACCAAATATCGACCTAATTCATATCTAACCTTTTCTTTAGGAAAGGAAAACTTTTTGCGAATCTGCTGTGCTTTGGGGGTGTGTTACATACCCAAACATATGTATGTATTAGAATAAATAAATATGTAAGCATTTAGCCATCGTCCTCAATAACTGTTAAATTAGCGGAAGCAATAAAATTTTATTTCCCGGGCATGAAATAGACTCTGGCATTGATGGCCGGAAGTAGCCTATGATTAAACGGGCCTGTTTTACTCTTGCCCCAAACAAATGTTCACGAAGTAGCTATGAAGAGAAAACTTCAACGTGAAATTTCAACATTCGAGGGCGGAAATTAAAAATTGCAAACTGAATTAATAAAATCTACAGAGCCAATTTTTTAGTGAAATCTATTTTTACCCTGCTGAGTGCGCCTCGAACCTGCGCGTTCGCATGTGGCGCGCTAACACGCTATACGGTACGCCACGCTTGCCTTAGCTTATGGCGGTGCTATTTTCGTATTTTCTTCGTTGCCTCATTCACCCCCCACACAATTCGTTGCATATTTTTAGGCATAACATTGAGCATGAGATTTTTCTACACTGTAAAAAAATATTATAACAAACAAGAAGTGAGTGAGTTTGAGCAAATAAAAAACTAGTTTTTTTGTAAAAGGAAATGAAGTGCTAATAAATAAAATAAATCTTATGTTGCATAAAAGAACCGTCGAGCTTTTGGACTTTAGATAGCATTTTATGCGGTCCGTTGATTTATTGTAAATGTGTGGTTAAGAAGCAGCGGCGTTATCTACGATTGCATTTTCTTTCGAGCCAAAGTGTAGCGTAGTAGCGGCATGTGGAGCGGTTTCGATCGTTGCAGTTCGCGCGGCGTCGATATACAAAGCACCAACAATGCTGGCAGTAGTCAACAGGAGACTTTGGCTGAAATCGAACACATATCAACGATAGCAGGCTCACTGGTATCAATTGCTTCCATATCACATACACACACTCAAGTACGTTATGTGAGTATTTCGAATGCTTTTGGGTGGTTAATGCAAACTTTGCAATGTATTTTTTTTCTTTATACTTTCTCCGTGATTTTTCTCATATAGCAATGCACAAATGATGCTGGCTATGAAACAGAACACACTTCGCTTAATTCGGACTTTGATGAGGCGGAGCTGCGCAGGGAATTGCTGCGTGATGTAGGTGGCTTTTAAACGGTGTTCACATGTGGCGATTTTATAGGCAATTTTAAGGGCGATTAGTTGAATCAAAACTTCATCGGAGGCGATTAGCTGAAATGCCATTCACACCAGACGATTGTTGCTTTTAATTAAGAGTTGCCTGTAAAATCTCCTTATGCACATATTTACATGCATATTACTGTTGTACTGACATATTATGGTTTTTTTTTCGTTGCAGAAATGGAAATGGCTGTTTGATATGGTAAGTGGATTTTCATTTATTTAATATATGCAGAAGTTGTTATAGTCTTATCATAAATGCTTTAAAAGTTACAAATATTTTTCCATACATTATTTTTTACTAATTAATTATGCCTGAGATTCATTATAGATGTTTGTTTTGCCGATTGATAGGATTAACTAAGCACTAATACTCTAATTAATAGTTAAATTCTAACTTCTAGTTTTTTTCACACGTTTTCAAGTGTTTTTTTTTAGAGTGTACTTCAAATGAGCGCATTTATGCATGTGTGTATCTTCGTATATGCTTTTGTACATGGCGTTAAATCGATATCAATACTGTCAAGTGCAACACTTGGCAGACGCTCTCGCTTGGCTTTCACAGCGTAGCGGTTAGCATGTTGCCGTACGGATGTCGAGGTAGTGGGTTCGAAACCCAGAGGAAATTTTGAAGCTTATTTTTATTTTTATTTTTATTTCATTTTTATTTTTTTGAGATTGTGTATTTTATTTAATTTGAGTGTATTTTATGTTGATTTTATTTTATTTTACTTAATATTTAGATCTTTTTAAGAGCTTTTATTTTATTTTATGTTGATTTTTTTCATTTTAGTTATTTTTTAGTTTGTAAACTTCTATATTATTATATGTGATTTTATCTTGTTTTATTTCTGTTGGTTTTATTCTATTTTATTTAATTTTTTATTTTACTTTATTTTTTTCAGGTGATTTTATTTTATTTTATTCTACTGAAGTTGAATGTATTTAATTGAATACTTTAATTTAGATGATTTTGCGGTATCTTTGGTTAGCTTTATGCCGATTGCCGAACTGCCTTTTATAGTAAACTTTAATGAAACTTATTCTAACGCAAATACTTAGCTACTTATTTACATATCATGTTATTTTTTAAGAAATATGAATACTATTTTCATTTTTAAGAATATGTTTAAGAAATAATCTCTTTGATAGCAAAACATCTACCGAATTTCTGCTAATGTTAATTTACTTAATACTTTGACATCCAAACAGTTTGATCCCGAGGGTTTTGGTGAGATACCCGTCGACGACTTTGTAAAGGCGTTAAAATCTCCCGAATTCTTATCACAAGTGCCTATGAATAAACGAGAATTGCTACACGAACGCACGAAAAAGGCGCGATTGCCAACTGGACCGGGATATGTCACCTTTCAGGATTTTGTAAATGTGGTAAGTACATACATACATACATTGAGTATCACGTCGGAAATGCGACGCCGAGTGGATTTCACAATGGTTAGTTTAGAAATTTCGCACTCGATTTGGCTTAAAATTTAACTACCAATTTTGGTCCGTTTAGATGAAAGAGGATGATTAGTGTGTTAAGCTTAGTAAGGGATTTGGCCTAGCACTTATTGTAGCCGTAAGCTGCCAGAGGAAACCCTATACCCTCCCTGTCAAGATAGATAACTTTGAGGGTGCCCTATATGGAGAAGAATCCACTCAGATCCAGCATCTGCATGGTTACTTTTGTTGACCTTCTGAGCACGGAGGCTATGACTACAGCTGCATTGATTGCTTTACACATTTTTTTACCACGTGGACGAGCTCAGATAACAGCTGGGAACTCACGTCGCTGGCGTACAACTTCGAATGGGTAATAACCCAAAAATCCTGCTGACCAGTAAAATGCAGGGGACCAAGCTACAGCTCTGCCAAAACACGGCACTCCGGACAGCCACCGGATGCCTACTGATGTCTCTACAACACCATCTACATGACGAGGCCCAAATGCTCCCCATCAGGGAGCATAAACTAATGCTCTGCAATCAATTCGTAGTAGGGTGTCACCGGCATGGGCACCCGAACAGACACATGCTTGTGGCGGAGCTCTCGCCAAGGCTCCTCAGGAGGCATCTATATGAACTGAGGGACGAAGTCCAGAGGTGCATAAACCAGCCTCTCGACCCGACAGCATACCGACATGCCATAGATGCAGATGTGCCCAACGAGTGCCCGGCATGTGGCTAGACATCTCTTCGCATGAACCCTAAACTCCAGCTAACACCTCAGTTCCTATAGACAAACCCAATGGAAGTTGCTGGGTCTTCTGCTAGTTGAGCTTGACGACAAAGATTTAGGGACAAACCGAGTCGATCCACACCACTATATCCTGCTGGATGCCGTGCCTCTCCAGGGCCCTACTAAATGCTTTCGTTTCGACGTTTTTGAAAAAGCTCTCAACATCTAACAAGCTGGCTAGGGTATATTTCCTGCATTTCAAGGACCTTTCAATAGTACCGACCATTTTTTAGAGAGCGCTGTAGACTTATCTGCCTTTACGAAAGGCCTTTAAAAAGGCCATGGGAGATTTCTTGGTCTAAAATCCTTCAGGGAGATGTGGTCTCGACTCCCTGCTTTTGGAATAAATATCCATCAGATGGGGTATCACACCATTATCTTTCTAGTAGCCATAAAAAAATGCTTTTGGGACGCTTCTTAAAATCGATTCATTTGTTACTAAAACCAGATTAAACAAAATAACACAACTCGTTTTCTTCTCATTAGAATTGGCTAAAAATTAATTGGATTTTTTTCTACCTGCTCGACCATTTTTGTGTTTGCTCATGTTGCCATGCCACTAGCAAAAGCAAGTTGTGGGAAAATAGTTATTGCTTCTGATTTAGTTCAAGAGCCTTGTTTTGCTTGTGTCGCCATACATATGTACATATAAGACTTACAAATTTTTTTTATGCCGTTTCGGCAAATATCCTTTGCCTAATTTGCACTTTGCATATTTGTGTGCTTTATGTTGTTGGTTTGTACGCACATATTATGGTATTACATACATATCCTCTCATCCAAATACCTATATATGTTCATACCTGGATTTTCTTTCCATGTTTGTTCGTGCACATATGCATATTTGCCATGGCTACTCCTTTATTGAAATAGCTGGGATTCAAGTAGCAATTGTTGTTGTCCTCTCAGTAATTTGTACGAATGTACAATAGGGCGGGTCGGAAAACACAAAATGTTTGATACGAAAATTGTAATATTTTAATCCCTTATTCTAGAAAAAAAAATCGGTCGGCGGAATGAGCTTGAAAAGTTAAAAATAAGAATGGGAAAATACATTTTTTTAAAATTTTTACAACGACTTGTGTAGATCAAATCCGGAACTTATTTCCTATCATAAAGTCATAAAAAAATTAATAGGGCAAGTTGAAAGTAATTAAAATCAATATTTTAATCAATTAATCTTTCCTTCCATCTTAATCTATCTGTGTCAACATGGCATAGATGTCGAAGTATATCGTTAGTCTGCTACATCAATCGAAAAATTGCTCCTCGACCACGCGGTAGCTGTCATTCGCAATTTGTCTGTCGGAAAATGGCTGCTCGTTCGAGTGATTTGAAATGCATTTAATTAATTTATTTTTCTGAAATTTTTCTTAATGTTATTTTGTGATTGACCTTTTCTGACTGGTCTGCCGAAATGGTCTACTGATGGGCCATTAAACTGCTGCTTCGATAGTGACCGACATTTGCCTGCTTAAAATGAAATAATGTTTTTATTTTAAAAATAAAATTTATTTATGTTATATAAATAGATTATTAAGTATTATAAAAGGGTTTATGCTCTATTGAAATGCCATAATTCAAAATAAAATAATTTTTTAATCTTTTTGCGGGGAAAAATTGCAATAAATCCCAAAATCCGAAAAAACAAATTTATTTATTTTTCATTAAATGAATTTTTTAAAGAATTTATATATGTATTTTCAATAGAGAAAAAACGCTTTAATTATACTTAAAAATCCTTTTATATAAGATAGAATGTTAAAGGTAAATTTTATCGTTGTTTTTTCAATACTAAAAAGTGCTTTTTAGTTTGAGAACGCTATTGACGGTTATTTGAGATGCTTTGAGATTTGAGAAAAGGACTGATTTTCAAGCGCATCTCAAACTGAGATTTAACAAAAATGCTTATTGGGAACTATGATTTCCTTACTTGAGTGAGTGCGAAGCTCCCATATTCGTTTGCATAAGCAAACTCTTGCAACGCTGGCGAAAAATATAGATATGCGATAAGTCGCAATAAGTCGCAAATATTACAACAGTGTGCTTTGATATACTTGGGGATCGCTGCGCGGACTCTTGCACTTAAAACAAAAAAGAATACTATTTTACAGGCTTGTACTTGACCTCATCAAATAACTTTTCACTATTAAAAAGTATTAAAGGAAAGTAAAAATTTCGACCCGCACTAATGTATGTACATACATAATACATTTATATGCACTTATTTATATGCTGTGTCCTTTTGATGTTCAAATTGTTATTATTGCTGTTGTTGTCATTCGAATTGTTCAGATTGCGGGCGTAGATGTTTACCGCTTTCTGCTTCAAGAAATTCACTTCGATTTGATGCATTCAAGTGTACATACACATGTACATGTCCTCAATAATTGTGCGTTCTGATTGCAATCGTTGTTGCTTTTTGTTGTCCTTGTTGACATTTATTTACATAAGTACCTTGCTTTTGCTTTTATTGACAAGTTGTTATCCCTTGTGTACATTTATTAATTTGTTTACAAGTGGTAAATATTTAAAAATGAAAAATTCACAATTAAATTATAAATGAGTATCTTCTTTAATGACTTCAAATCCTTCAAGTGACCATCTTAGTAAATTAATAAGTTTCGTTTGTATGTTGTTGGCGTTATTTAATCCTTGTGGTAAAATGTTTTTGAAATGTTATGGGCTATTTTTAAATTCGAACCATAGAGCAATAGGGCAATTTGTATTTTTTTCGATTTGAGTGCAAAGAAAAAGGTAAAAATTTAGCACTAAACAAATTTTTGATTTTACTTACTGCTGCCTGTTTTTTGGCGCGCTGGGAAGTATTATCATTCACTGGTATAATGTGCAAAAGCACAGTAGGTAATACTAGATTATTCTAATGTTCCAGTAAGTAATGTAAGTACTTATTGTTTTTTGAAGTGAAACTTCTTTGGCAAATTCAACGGAAATTGCACACGGAAATGGTGCAACGGAAATGGTTGGGGCGGAAACAAGTGCTTCTCGAATGCATTAATTTAACAAAAACTTGCTAATAAAACGTAAAACAATAACACTTAGAAAAAGACCAATACAAGAATGCAAGAAAAGTTGGCAAAAAGGCAAAGGTGAAAATAAAAACAAAAACAAATATGCGTAAACATAAAGGCAAAAATGAAGACCAAGGTAAATTTAAACACTTTACTTATATAAGGGCAAAGATGAAAGGGATAGATGAAGAAAGATTAAAATAAAGGTAATTACTGAGAAAAGCATATACATATGTACATAGATAGAAACACAAAGACTCAATCTGGGACCTATTTTGGGATTTTAGAGGTTTTAGGCAATCTCGGAACTTATCGATAAAATAATCGATAGTTTTCTCGGTTTTGTTATCGATATTTTCATCGATTTTGTTATAGATATTTTCAAAACTTATCGATATAATAATCGATATTTTTATCGATTTTGTAATCGAAATATTTTCGATTTTGCTATCGATATTTTCGGAAGTTATCGATATAATAATCGATATTTTTAGAGGTTTTGTTATCGATATTTCTATCGATTTTGTTATAGATAATTCATAGATTTTGTTATCGATATCGCTATCGTTTTTGTTGTCGATAATTTATCGATTTTGTTATCGATTATTTATAGGTTTTTTTTCGATTTTGTTATCGATATTTTTTTATTTGTTATCGATATTATTCTCGATATTTTGGTCAATTTTCTAAACGATTTTGCTACCAATGTTATTATTGATTTTGCTATTTTGATCGATTTTCTAACCGATTTTGCTACCAATATTATCGATTCTGCTATCGAAATTTTCGGAAATTATCGATATTTTTATCGATTTTTTTTTGATTTTGTCGTCGATGGCATCTAGACAGAAAAAAGACAAAATATATGACCTTAAGAAAAAGTATGTATGTATGTATATTGGTTATGGACAAAATAGATATGTAACGTAAGTTTCACTTCTCCAGTGTGGCCCACGCGCACTTACTTTTTTTTTAAGGTATTATTGACCACAAGTAGACATTGCAAGCTTTTTGTTAGAGGAAAAATGTGTGGAACATTGCTAAGAGAGCTTTTCAGGAATTTACATTTATTTTCTTGCCATCCCGTAAAGTTGATAATAAACAGGTTTACTCAAA